CGTCATCTGCAATCGTTGCCATGATGTCTTCACTATTGCTTCCTTTTTGTGGCGCTGGCTTCTTATCCTGGGAAGTGGTTGGCCGGGTCGGAGCGCCGTGTACAATGTGGCTGGCCGGTTTGGCGGCCTCAAACTCAGTGTTGCTACCCATGGTCAACGTTCAGTCCTAGAACATGGGTATGATGAGGAGAGAGTGTGAAGACGACGGCAACCAAGGAGCCGTCGAAGGAGAGTAGAAGGATGAAATAGACGTTAGTGGGTCCAAGGTGGACACAGACTAAGAAGATTGACGGCAACGGCGTCGGATCACAGGCCCAAGCGACGGGGACTCGTTACTTGAAACGGAAGGGATATGGATTCGTGAACGATGCGAGGGAATAAGAGCATCTTTAGCCTCTGGAGTAACGACGCGGAGCAGAGCGCCACCGCTTTCGGACCTCCACGGGAGAGCCAGTGGTATTACAAAATGTACTCTAAACCTACCTTCACAGTCAGAGCTGCAGGTCTGATAGCATGATGACACGTGCGAGGCGTGCTGTCGAAGCTGAGTACGGAGAGGAGCTAAGGTTTGAGGAGGCAGGGACCGAGAGCGAAGCCAGCGAGCCCGAGTAGCTTCTTGGGATAGCGGAAGATCCTGAGAGCTACGTGTTGCTCATGGTACTTTCATTAGCGGAGTTGATGTCCTGTAGGAAGGAGATGCGCTTGAGCCAAGAGGCGCCCACAGCAAGGCGGTTTGGCGATCCAAAATGCCGGGCCGTTAAGCTCGCATCCCTGTCTTTGCAGCAAGCAATGACATTGCAACCATGAGCGCGGTATGACCGTAATCGGAACAGGATAGAGTTTGTGGTATTAAGTTTGGACGTTCGCCTTGAAAGTTGGTGCGCGTCCGTCAAAGTTTCGGAAGGAATGAAACGCGTCACTTTCATCTCATGTCACCAAACCTTTTCCTCAAGGCGACGGGAAGTCAGGAAGTTGCGACAGGCCTCGGCATGGACCTTGGTGGCCATGACGCATGTCGGACGAGACGCCGGCTTGTCTTGCATACTTTCGAGCATTGCGACTCAAGACGCGGAAGTAGCCTGCGGTAAGTTTTCAATTGGCCTCCCCCTGACCGGACGATGGTCATTTTCACTGTAGCGGTGAAAGATGCACCTAATTGGCCATCGCATATGCTGTTGTACGCGCTCCGAAGATCTCGAATGCGAGGGTGGTCAGAGCAGATTGAGATTGCTGTGTTGTCTTTACGAGGGACTGGCGAACCGCGTCTCGTGTCGTTGCAGAAAGAATCCGAACAGGCGGGCACAGCCGAACCGAACTTCCCACGAGGATGGAAAGCATCTTCCTCTACAACAGACTCATCACCCCATCACCACTCGACAGTAACACTGCAATGTATTTGCGACGACGAATTCGCCTTGTACGACCTTTGTCGTCAGCCTATCGAAAAGTTCGGCGCCATGCCACGGCGTCGCAATGTAAGGCGGACACGTGCGGCTGCATGACCTCCCCGCGACCAATGTTCATCCAACACGAGATTTGTGGCCTGGCAAAGAGCTTTAGCTTCCACACACCGTCCTCTTGGAACGTTCCTACGGACCAGGATATATCCCTTGCTTTCATTCAAAATGCCGATGCATACGATCTCTTGCGGTGAAGGATGATCCGGCAAACCAATGGGGACCAGGGCTTATAATGCGGAGCTCACATGACTGCTGCGACCCCGGCGTTCTCCCACTTATGGCCCACTATGTCAAGCCTCGCTCTCGGTTTAAAAAGAGCGGTGGAAGTTGGAAACAGCCACATTGGGTAACTGCCAGCGTAGTCTTCCCGTTTGACCGGACCCACAGACGTTTGAACTGCTTTGACAGCAGGCTGAATGTCGACGTCAAGCCTCTGATTTTCATACCAGATCAAGCAAGTGACTTCTGCTGCAGAGTCAAGCCAGCGGTAATGTCTATGCCGGAGCGTGTCCAGCTTTAGGGTGCGGCACCGAGCTTGACAGCTCTCCAATTCGCTACTTGGGCATCTGTACAGTAGCTGCACGCCAGGCTGTCGTGCGTTGGACGCAATAATTCTTCACGCGATGTACGAATTGTCAGCATGCGATGCATGAGGGCTGAGAAGATGTGTTCCGAACCAAGGTGGTTTGCGCACCAGGCAAGCTCGGAGATTTTCTTGATGTCGGTTTTCCAGAACATGTACTCCATGGCGCCGTGGTTTCAGAATGGTGCCGAAACTCTGGGTGATGGACCGCTTGCAATCACCAGCCCTATCTGGTCTCGACCAATCAAGAAGGCTAACTGTGAATGTCCTGGTTGTTCACAACGCAGCATATCACTTGCATCCACCACCGTTCTGCAAGGATCGTGGAAGCGAAGAGTGAAGTGTATGACTTGCAGCGTGCTTGCATTGTGCCAACACACCTCCCTTCAGGTGATGTAAACCGGTGTTCTGCTACTATGGAACGTGGATGCTACAGGTGGAAATTCAGCATGCGGCAGAAATCGCAGAGTACATGACTGGAATATTGCCCGCACAACAAGCGTCCACCACGCCTCAACAATAAGGTCTTTGTCTCTGATCCCTTTCTGCTCCATCAAATTCGCGACGAGATCAAGCTGTTCTTGGTCGGCGTAGCTGTGGAATACCTCAACTATGTCACTTGACGGCGATCCCGGTACGAGCAGGGGATCGGTCCTGTACATATCCCTTTGAATCGAGTACACTCTCTCCCACGCCGCAACACCTAGATGGAGGTGAGCCAAAACGAGGTCTTTGTATACCATGCCATGACGGCTCAGGGCGTCTACAAAGTATGCGGTGGTTTCATCGAAGACATCGTGGGCAAATTCAATTAGATCCGCCGGGCATCGCGACTGCTGACCCATTTGGAAGTGGAGGCTTTCGTAGAAGAAATGCGGCCATCGAGCTGCATAAGTGATCAGATGACCAAGGAGAGCGTTCAGTTGAGCTGAGTAGTGTCCACCGGTGATGTACTGCTCTAAACGGCGACGGAAAACGATTCGAGCCCAATGGGTAGCAAGCGATTCCGTGTCCGCACACAAGGCGTTGGTCACTGTGGTAATGCTCGATCCTCGTAATGGCAAGAAAGGGGAGAACATACTCCGCAGATCGCACATGAGTTCTAAGCTGCCCCATCCATCTTGCTTCGTGATGACCTCGACGACCTCTTCGGCGACACCAATAGACTCAAGCGAGCCACGGACCATTGCGAGGCTGGACGCATGCAGTGTCTTGTTGGAGTGGGTGTGCTGATTCGGCTCTGCGGCACTAATGCTGTGTACAACATGGACGTCTGGCAGGTCCAAAACTTGACAACCTGGGATAATGCCGCACGCTAGCTTGTCAGCCGCTTCGGTGTGTATTCGAGCGTGGGGGTGCGCCGCATGTGACGGAGTGTACGATTCATCGAAAGTGTACTGAACCAGAACTCCAAACCCTCGGATAGTGGTGCTGCTGATGGTATGGCCGTTTCCTTCCGCTCTGATGTATCCGCGACTTGGCTGTAGATCTCTCCATGCCATGCCCAGGCGATGCGCTAGTACGACCAGTGTCCCGACAGTCGTGGTCGCTAGAGGGCGGACGACTTCAGGCGGCATGAAATCCCACGACCATTCGCGAAGCACCATTGCTGGACTCAGGATCATCGAAGTGGGTGTCTCGGAGGACTTTCTGTGGTTGATGGCACCAAGTTCCTCCCATGTCGCCTGCTGGAGGTACTCGAGTTGCTTTAACAAGCTGATCCAACCCACTTGGTCTGTACTCGTCTCTTCACGTCTTTCGACTGGTATTGAGTTGGTTCTGAGACCCGAGTGATCAATTGCGACGACATCTCTCCTGACAAGTCTGCGTTCAGCAACCTCTCGGCTCGGTGGGGGTGGAACGTTCGTTTGCAAGATGATGTCAGGGGTTGTGAACTTGACTTCAAACCGGAACTGGCTCCACCGCCAGGTAAGACGTGTCTTGCGCGCCCAGGGTCCAAGAACAGAGTGTTGACATCGGCGATAGCCCTCGGCGGTGCTGAAGACTTGCTGTAGGAGCTGGCCAACAGCAATCGCGAGCGCAACCAGCGCAACCGCAAGCGCGGCACCTGCCAGGCTTAACTCTCCGTTGGCCATTGATCAGTCATGTGTGTTGCAGGATTAAGAATTGATGGTATCGAGATGAGTACGATGCCGCTCAGCTTGACGGCGTAGCGTGCGTGCTGCGCCTCAGGCGTCCTGTATTCGACTGTAGTGCGCAGATCTTGAACGAAATTTTCCGGCCATCACATTCTCGACACAGCAATTGAGGGCTTGTTGACGTGCTTGCAGTTGAGTTCGCTGTGATGGATCTGAATGGCGGCAAGCGAGCTTGAGGCCGTGGCGAGTCGCGACCTCTGATGCCGGCCCCCTACGTCGCCACAGAAGTTGGATTCAGCCACCAGAATCTGTGGATCGCTAGAGGCTTTCAGTGTTAATCGAGACAGTTTATGTAGACTAAGAGGTCTTCTAAAGACTAAAATCTGTTATATGGTTACGCCCAATTTTTCTGGCAACATGAATGCCGGCCACCGAACCAGCCAAACCCAACACGGCACCAATACTTTGATTTGCGCAATGAGCTACAGTCTCCCACAGAGCATTGAACGGCTCAACGCGTGCACATGTGAATTTGCGGGATTTTCGCGTGTGGGAAGCATTGTCGGACGACTGAGATTCTGAAATAGATCGCGGGGAATCAGACCTCTCCAGAAAGCGCACTTCGACACCACAGCAGCATCACCGAACCAATTGGCCTGGAACTTGTAGCTAATACATTTTGAAGGTCGCGGAACCACCTCCGAGCTTTGTATTGAAGTTCCTTGGCGGCTTTCCTCTTTTCCGCGCACCTCAGCAATCTTGGACACTGCCACGTTTCTCGACCGTTACTCAATAAATCTGCTATATATTTGTTGTTGAAAGGTCTCCTTCCATCAAAGGAGTTAATCCAACAGCTACGGGCTCGTGGTTTAGTGGTATAATACTCCCTTAGCATCTCGCAAGCAGTCTTCTGCTTAGCAATCTAGCCTGGGAGTGGTCCGGGGTTCGATTCCCCGCGAGTCCATCTTTTTGCGGTTTTCTGCAGCTATCAACCGTCTTTTTTGGTCTTGTGGGAGACCTAGGAGAGGTTTGAAGGCTGGGTGTGGGCTGGCGGCGCTAGCGTATTTTTGCACCATTAGATCGCTGGATAAGCGAGACAGGACCTTCGAATGAACATTATGACGACGTCTAGAAGTGCAGAAGTTCTCGTGCAAGCCCCGGACGTCTGGCTGGCTTCAATTCTGGACTATGTCACATCTACGAAAGAACGATCCTGGGTATGACTTCCGGATGCGATAATAAGGACAATCGTCGTGCGACCGCTCATACCAGAGACTCTGAAACAAGTCTGGGGAATTACAATGCGTTCAAGTCAAGCGGATCGACTGTCAAGGTTGATGTCCTTAATTGAAGTAGACGTCTATCAAATCGACTAGCAATTCGACGAGGACACTTCCGCCATGAAATACTATCGCAGAATCGCACACTACACACGCACACCAACGCGGATACCACTAGATCCTGTGCAGCCAGATATGCAGACTCTGTCCACCAGTCCTGTTTCTCTTATTATCCCAGCCCGCATCCTTCATCGTCAATACCCTCGCAACCGCATCGCCATATTTGAACGTCTGTCCCTTCTCCCACAGCCCATTGCCTAGCTCAATGCACTCCGTGATAGCCATATTCTCGCACTCATCCGCACCCGCATTATTATTGCACACCTGGATCAGGCGATTCAGACCCGTGCTCGAAGATATGTTGAACATCTCAGTCACGAACTGAGCCCCCGGAGACAGCCAGGGACATACATTGCCTTTGATCTGGATGAAGAGCGAGTGCTCGCTGGCTTCGACGTGCGTCACGCCGGGTGGTACGCCGCCGGGGATTTGTGTCACGTCTTGTTGCTCTGGCTGAGGGGGCGCGCCGCCGTTGCCGTCCATGGCCATGGGTGCTGGACGGTAGCCAGGCAGTCCGACGCCGCCCATCATGCCCATGCCCATGCCCATGCCCATCATAGGAGCGACACCCCCCTGCGACCGCGGGAACGTTGCCGAATGCGAGGCCGCCGCTGGACCAGAGTGGTGCAGTGGGTGCAAAAGCGGGGACTACACCGGTTGCGAGGGCGCCGGGAGGAGGTGGAGGGAAGGGCATGCCGCCGGCTGCGTGGAGACCGAAACCTACGCCGCCGTGAGCACCAGGTATGAAATTGCCTGGGTCTGTGTCAGTCCAAGATCACATATGGTCATTGTAAGTTCGGCTTACCCGTTCGAATGGGCGCCAATGGACCCCCTCCGCCGTACATGAAGGGGTCCATGAAAGGCACAGGTGGAATCATACCTAAGCCGATGCCTGTGCCGAAAGGAGGAAGAACACCAACAGAAGGTGCGATGCCAATGGGGACTGGAGGGCTATAGATGGGCGCTTGTTGATGTTCAACAATGACTTGACCACTTCCTACAGTTGGAGATAGAGGGTCACCCGAGACGACGTTGAGCGGAGGCGGAGGGGCGTCGCGATTGATATTCGGATTGCTACCGATGTTGGCACACCAGGTTTGACCGAGGGGAGGGCCGGCAGACATGAAGAAGGGAGTGAGTAGGGCTACTGACCTTGATCAGCAGCGAGAGCGAAGGTCAAGAGCGGGCAACGGCCGACAGAAGCTTCAATTTCTGCTGCAGAGAAGACAACAAGCGACGAGAATAATTCTCTCGGGCTGAATTATGCGTCGTACTTATGCTGAAGTTCGTGACAGCGGTTTGAATGGAGAAGCGTGAATCTTAGTATGGTGATTGGAAACGGTGACAGTACGAACGCTGAATGTCAAAATGCAATCGATTGAGGTGTGTGGTATCAGGACCTGCGCGCTGTTGTGAAGTGCTATGACACTGCGAACTCGGTTTGTGTTGCAAACGCAGTCACCGTGATTGGAAACCTCAGCAAACGACGCAAGACATTCGGAATGGAGCCAAGAGGGTATCAGAAGGCATTCGAGAATGATGGGGAAGACGTTGGGCAAGGCAAGGCAATGCAATTGTGAATTTGTTGTTGTTAAAGTGTATAGACAAGAAAGGACAAAATGTGTGTCATCCACCACCCTTGATCTAGCAGGTAGCGACCTTGGGTCCACTGCGGTTGTTAGCGATAAGTCAAAGATTCAAAGGTACGGCAAACTTACGGGACGGTGTAGCTGTTGAAGTTGTTGTAGATGTTAGCTGTGAAGCCGGGGTCAGTCGACTTGATGTGTCCCGGGATCTTGGTGGTGGGGGACATAGTCTTGGAGCCGCCACCGGTGACCTTGATCTGGGCGCAAGAGTCGTAGAACTGTGGGGGAGAGCCAGGGTTGTGGATAGCGAGTTGCTCGATGCGGAGGAGGTACTCGCCAGCAGCAAGGCAGGAGGGGATGGTGACTGAGTAGTTGTCCTTCAGGTCCCACGTAGCCTGACCACCGGAGAAGGTAGGGCCGATCTCCTTGATCTTGAACCAGTCGGAAGAGCCATCAGCAGCAGCAGCACTGTTGACCTTGGTCATGTAGAAGGAAACAGGTCCCTGGTGGTAAACAGCAATGTCGGCTGTGAAAGTGACCGAGGAGCCAGCAGCGACGGAGACAGTGGAAGTCGAAGCACCGCTTCCACCACCAACGTTGCAGCGAAGGTCGTTTGAGGCGAGGTCAGTGACGGGCGAGTTGTTGTTGGTGTTCCTGCGGACGTTCTGGTACTGGGCGCCCTTGACACCGTTCGCGGTGAGGTACTGGAAGATGTAGTGACCGTGGGCGACCTCAGCGAGCGCCGCGCAGAGAAGAGTGATTGCTGTGAAAGACTTCATAGTTGCTGTAGTCGGATGGAGCGAGTGTGAATGTGCGAAGGTAGTCGAGGATGCTGAATACGAAGCACGACGTCGCTTTCATTTTATATACTCTTTCAGAGGCTCTGCGGCATTGCGCATCACTGCATCCAGATTGTAGCACTCAAATCTTGCCCATCCAAATTAGACGCCCACTCCTGATTGGATCAGGCATTGACACACAAATGAGTCTACATCACAGTGCTGGTGTACGTCGGTTAATAAGCCGGAAACGCTGTCCTCGTTGCCGGCGGCTGTCAAATATGTGGGCCAAACCGTGGCCTGAAACATCGGTCTTGACGAACAGCGGGCGTGCGCTGGTAGGACAGGCAATCTAAAATGGATCCTCGAATGTCGCTTCGATGTAGTGCCAACATGTTCGAAACATGGACAAGCAGTCCTGATCGAGAATTCTCGACCCAGGGCTGAGACCTCCATCGGCAGTGTCGGATTGGTAGATGGTCGAACAGTTCACGTGCCGGGTAGATTAATATCTGGGGCAATATGCCATATTAGTTGTGGGTTTGAGGCGGGACGCAAGAACACCAACGATGCAAAACAAACAGGAAACAAACAAAACCTTGGCTGATCAGTCCGGCGGCTGGAAAGAAGGGGCGCCTGTATGGATACGATTTAAGCTCAGTCCCTTCAGTTGAGCATCTGCTGCAACTTTTCTTTCGACTCGTGACCAGGGATTTGCGTCAGCAATTCTTCGCATCATGGCTGCTTCCTAGCTCTTTCCTGTTGATTTGACACAAAAGAATCGGCGAGAGTTGTTCCAACATGATATTCGCGTGCTCGACACCTTGTCAACTGTCTGCTCGAGAGCGTGGGCCAAGCGACCATCGGGAACAACGGCCAAAACGCACTGGATGTAGAGCTCTGTAGGGTGTCGACGGGTGATGGAGGTGCAGGCTGTAGACAGCGTGGACATTGCAAGCTTATGTATACCACAAATGAGCGCAAACTGCCTCAAAGCCGAGGACCATGGGCCTGCGCCACTCGTGTTCGATACCAGGGTCCCACTGGGACTGCAGAGTGGAGGACGACAGATGTCCGTTGATGTTGAACTGATTCGCAGGGCTTTGAATGCACACGTTTCATCAAAGACCTGCTTCCAAGCTGAACGCTTGAGCCTGAATCGCTTGCAGGTAACACGAGTGTAAGGCGTCATGCTTTTGAGGTTCAACAATACATGTCGTTGTGCGCTCAATGCTAACCTTGCGTTCTGTGCAGCAGGAGTCTCTCGGATATCTCTGAGACTTGCGTATACCTACGGTAGACGATTGACTCTTCGGCGTTTCCTGTCAAGGATATGCCTCCGGGCATGGCGGTATGGCATCTCAGCGACAACGGCGCTGTGAAGGTGGTGAGAACGATATATCTGCAAGGCTGACATCGCAGGAGGCGAGCGGCTCAAGCTCGGCGGTCGGTCTTGCGCCTTCGAGAAGCGGGGTCGTGTGCCCCGCGGACCTTCACACAATTCAGCAATCTGCTAGCCCTTTTGGAGCAAGTCCATCCGATGTCAACGACGGCGTGGGCGTTTGTGATAGCAGATCCACCTTCTTATCAAAGCATCGGACTGTAGTTGAGTACGCAGATGCCGTGTTAGGTAGTTGACGTGAGATGTGGCAAAACTACAAATACTCAGCTTGGCCTTTTCTTGATCCCAATTGCTTCTTGCAGCGTTTGTAACAACACCAGAACTTCGAGATGTCTGCTGAAATCGCCACTGACGCAGCGCCACAAGCCACTAAGGCTGTGCCTTCACATCCTCTTGCACCGCTTTCGGCTTCAGAGATCACGACCGCGGCATCGATAATCAAGGCCTCATGGCCAGCTCACACTGACCTGCACTTCAAGGTCGTCACATTGCAGGAACCGCCCAAGGCTGAGGTTCTGAAATACCTAGAAGCTGAGCATACCGGCAAGTCACGGCCAGCGATCAGCAGGAAGGCCTTCCTGAACTACTACATCCGTAACACAGTAAGCAAGGCGTGGAGGTCTGCAGAGAGGCGGGGTCTGACTGTGACAACAGAACAAGTTCCACGAAGCAATCATCGACCTCACGTCAAGGCGGGTTGAGCGTAACGTGCTTCTCGGACCCTTTGTGCATGCCAACGGTGACGGCGATGAGATTGTTGCAATTGAGAAGATCGTTCTTGCAGACGAAGGCGTCCA